GGGTTCTCCAGAATTCAGTAGACAGATGCAGTCGTGTCGCCTGTGACGTTATTTTGAAACGAGACAAGGAATGCCTACACTTGTTGTGGAAGTTAAGACGAAGAAAGCTGTCTAGGCAGGTCTTAATCAAAGTTCCGTTGGCCGATGAACTCCCGCATACGTAGCAGCATCTCTGTTTCTGAGCCATGTCGCAGCCTGATGTTGTTGAAAAGTTGGTCTAGCGTTTGTCGATTGGTTAGGTCTCCACGTTTAAGAATGGTCTTCTTCAGAGATTCGTGAAGTTGAGGAACACCATTAGTAAAAATACTAGGTGTGACAATCATTTAAAATGCGTGGTAGCGCTTTCACTACTGCGATGAATTGTACACGTGTGTCTGTCACTCTGTACTCGTGGATGCTAGCTTATGTGTGGCGGAACCAGGCTTCGGTATTGTCGTTCCAGAATGGCATGAGTTGAGATAAAGGAGAAGTAAGATTCTTGACTACAGGTAAATTACATATCTGTTCTCACATGATGAAGATAAAATATATCAGTGGAGTAGAAAAAATATCCGAAAATATGGAAACAGTGACTCAATAAGTAAAAACAAAAGATGAAAATATGATATATGATGTTCAAACAAGGAAAAGACCCATGAATCGGAGAACCAGATCACGTATCGCTCACCAATAAAGATGCCACAGTTATTAAGAGTTTTATTATTAGGGTTTTACGTGCAAGATAGTTAATAATAATAATAATAATTTATTCTCAAATAACAGTTTGTTACCCGAGGCATGCCAGTTTACAGGCAAGATCAAATTGATACAATATCCACTGTAGTAAATTACTCAGCTGGGTTGATAATTTATAACATATGAATGTCGATGGTTTTACTCAATATCACAGTTGGCGCGCTTCATGAAAGTTGCGTTGCGAATGTGCAGCTAATGGTCAAGGATGAATCCATTGAAGGTGAGAGCTTCTAGAAATCGCAACCATATGTCCCTTTGGAATATCTAAGGCTTTAAGGATGGTGCAGGATGAAGTCACCAGTTACATATCTCAAGGGAGCTGAAAGAGGGAGCAAGTAAAAGAAAGGACGAGAGGCAGAGTAGCCAATATTCATGAAGGAATGTTTAAGGTATGATTACTCAGTCTAATTTTCTTTCATTAAGGTATTTGTTAAGCAGGAGCATTTTAATAGGTTAAAGAAAATAAGTGTTAACATGGTATGAGTGGATATACAACTGACAAATGGAGGCGATTCAGAAAGGAACTGAGAGTATGGGATTATGTGTGGTTATAAAATATAGTGCTGAAAACAGTATTGTGATATACAATTGGCTTTCTTTTTTTATCGAAGATATTGGAGCCCTTTACATTTTTTTGTATTATTTTTTTTTAAGGTATCATAGGGTCTTGAGTAGGCTTCGTATATTATCGAATTGTCTAGTTTGCTTGTAATAGGATTACTGGGTAGGAAGTGAAACCAATTCAACGTTCGTAACACGATTTAATGACGTATTTTGCATGATGAATCAGCATTAATACCTTAAGGTCGTGACATCCCACTAAACCATAAGGAGCCGTAATTAAACAAAATGTTCTGCCCTACAGACATTGGTGGATTGAAGTTATCTCCCCACCATCATGTTTGCTGGTCAGCAACGCCACCCTCCCTCCTTGTCAAATTAAACCAATTCAGTTAAATCAGAAGTCATAAATGAAGGGTTTCGATTGCATATTTGGAAGGCTATCAAAATATTGAGAAGCGCCTTGTTTGAGCTGGCTATTAAGTGCAAGGAATGCGTAGCACGGCGTACAATTTGTTGTTCTGATGTGGATGTGTGAACAAGCGCCTCCAGCTATGTGCGCCCAGTAAAACTAATGAGGTTAGCATCAATGTCGTAAACCTACAGAACTATTAATCTTGAGTTGTTTAGCTCTAAAACCACTTACACGGGAGTCAACAAGCGACTGAAAAAGAGCATTACAGCCGGCAAATATAAATTCATGAAAGACCTAGCAACGGGAACCGAAAAAGCTGCGAGAGTAGGAAATATGCAAAGATTATATTATGCAACAAAGAAGATACAGGGAAGTAGATTGAGGCTAGAATGTAAGACAGTCCCTGAGATTCAAGAACAGAGAAACAGGTGGGCAAAGCATTTTTAAGAACTCTTGGATAAATCAGCTTCACTGAACCCACAGGACTTCATAGCAGCACACACAGATCATCTTATAACTGTTATTCTACCAATGATAGGCGAAATCAGGCTGGTCATCAGACAAATGAACAGTTGGAAAGCGATATATTCACACAGCATACCAAATTGAGCACTGAAGTCAGACATAGAGGCACTTCAAAACATGTTCCAAGTTCTATTCAGAAAGATTTAGGGGAAGAACATGTACCGACAGACTGGAAAAGTGGACACCTCATCAAGATACGAAGGAAAGGAGTTCTGAACATGTGTGAAAGCTGCTGAAGTATCACACCATTATCGATACCAGGAATAGTTTTAAACAGAGTTGTTGAACGGGATGAAAGATTCAGTAGCAGCTCAGCTTCGAAAGTAACAGATTAGATTCCCAAAAGATGAGTCGTGCACAAACCAAAACGTTGAACGGATCGTTGTTGAGCGGTTAGTTGAATGGAACACGTCACTACACGTCAACTTTCCTGACAGCGTGAATACGAGAGCCCTATGGAACCTTCTCCGACACTATGATGTACCTGAGAATACCGTCAACACAATTCGGAAAATATAAGACAGATCGCACTGCAAAGTTATGCCTAGAGGACACTTCACAGATGAATTCCAAGTGGAGGTACGCCTGAAAGATTATGTGACAGCTTACGTGCAATTGTTTAAAGGATGAACGGTACTGTTTAGATCTCGAGTTTATCACTAAATGTACTCCAATTATCCTCAACCAATTCATTTCTACTGATTGATCAATTTATTGTAATTAGAGACGCTTTACCGGAATGGCATCCAACCTAATGTCGGATCATGACGTAGCCAATTCATACAACGTTTTGTTTGTTAAAATCCGAGGGTAAAATGCAACTCGGTCATGGTGTCAAAGTGTGGGTTGAAGAGGAATGTCTGTTACACCCCCACAATGGTATACAAAGACAAAGTACGACGTATTGGCATGTGGACGCGTTGTGCTAGTGTGCATTTAATAGTAATTTACTGCAGGCTGATGTCAAATCATCTAACTGAAATTGTAAGCTTTAACCAACTGATATATGAAGCGTCGAAATCTCCAACTATGTGAAAGCAATTAGCCTTACTACATGTAAAGATGTGACTTGAGATAAAGTTGTAGGCAAGACAAGTTTGACTACAATATATTGCCCCTAGGATCACTACCACATTAATAGACAGCTTTTTGTCTCACGAGATTCACTATTTTTCGCCTCCTATGTACTTAATTTTATGCTAAAGTGATCTTTTATATAAAACATTGTTTCCTTTCCTGCGGTTTGCAAAGCAATACAACGCTGCTGCTATCATAGGTTTCGGTGCATTATAGTCGCTTTGCTGAGTATTCAAATGCTTTGACGAGATGTTTCGAATTTTATATCCCACCTATGCAAAATCACACTTAGGTTACTGTGTTCAAGCATTTGCTCCATATCTGATTCAGCATACCAACTCACTTGAGCGTGTTCATCGTGTGGGAACAAAATTGGTGAAAAGTCTTTCTAAAGTCCTATCTTTCTACTCCCTCCAGCCCTAACGATCTTCGAGGCTGTAACAAGAAGGTTCACAAATTTGATCTAATAATAAGAGAGTGCGGTTCCGTTTTTCTCATCGAGTGGTTAATGACTGTAACGCCTCACCCGAACAAGTGGTATCAGCGCCATCAGTGAATATTTTCATGGAGAAGCTAGACCTTCACTGGAAAACCCACTGAAGAGATTAACATAAGTCCACCAACCTATCATTATTATTACTGGAGAGTGATGACCGAAATTATCACCAGCGCTACCCATACACATCATAGAGCTACTGACATCCGAATCCTCACTACCTAAAAGTACTACGATTTGTCTCGGCGTTTCGATCAGTAAGACCGCTCTTTCACCTCAATTAATTTTCGGGTAACTGGTCTGGTCGTATATGAGTGTTCCAGTTGTAAATGTTACGTGAATTGTTTAACATCAGTTTTGGGTTGGAATGGACACGAGGTTTGATGGCCTGTGTTAGTCCTAGCAATATGATGTCCATTTTTGTCAATTTGCTTTGAAATTGCTATTTTAGGAATAAGAGCAAAGCTGACTTGCACACGATAACCTGTTTGGTTTCTAAACAATTTCCAATAAGTGTAGCAACTACCATAACTACGAAAATGTACCAATAACTAACATTAACTGGTGATAGTTCAGTCTTCAGTAATAAGGATAGGAGGTCTGTCGACCTATATTAATCCTTGCAGTTTGTAATACTGTGGAGGTCCAATCTCGTTTTGAATATATTAACAGACGGTGCTGATATTACGTGTTCCGGTAGGGAATTCCAGTAATTCACTACTCGGTGCGAGAAACGGAACTCCAGACGTAAACGGTTTGATCTCGGTTTTTGAACTTTCTTCGAATGTCCTCTCAAATGATCGGTTCTAGACGGAAGCAAAAGATAAGACATGTTAAGGCAATACATCCAACTCTAAGAAAAAGAACAGAAAACGGTGAGTGCGATCGAATAATTATAAACGAAAAACAAAACGTCAGCTGTAAAGACCTACAGTAGAAACCTAAATATTGCTTGAACCGTCAAATCTGAGTTTAAATCTAAGCTCCTAGTATGATACAAGCAACGTATGTGAAATGCCTCAAAACGCCGAAGAACTCGTTTTTGCAAAAACATATGTGTCTCCACTTTGATATAATTTGTCCAGACATGGTAGCACATCAAGTAAAAGAGTTTTCTGTTCTATCTATTACCATTTCAGTCGCCTGATTTCAATCCTAAAGTATTTGGCGGAACTACAAAAACGGCCTTCAGTAAGTTTTAAGTTTACACGGAGACGGGTTGTGATCAGAGTTGTTACACTTCTCATCAGCACAGCTATAAGGAAACAAAACATGTGGAATAATGCTTTCAATTGACAGTAAGAACTAAGCAAATCCGCGCGCTTTGTGAACAGGAAGTGTGATCCTCACGTGATTTTTAATTCTTTACGCAACAAAAGTACTCTTTTCGACCCCAAAAGATCTGTTTTCTGCCTAACGATCCGTAACTTATTTCCTTCGAGTTTTGTCCGAATCAGCAGCTAACTGTAGTTTTGGCTCAATTTACTTTCTTAGGTTTACGTGGTTAGTTTTAGTTCAGAGATTTCCTAATCCTGGCCGTCATAAGGGGGAGTGATTACATCGTCATGACTCAGTTTTATTAGCGATACTGAGCTAAAACATTCTACCAACAACAGGTGTTTGAGCAATCTACGGCAGGTGGACTGGGATGTTCACCCTCAAGTCTTACCCTAACTACGACAAAATGCCTTACGATCACACCACGGACAAGCATTTTAGGCGAATTTGAAGGTGCAACACTTTTAATTGGCCTCACTCATACTATAGGAACATAGTGTTTCCTCTCTCACTCCAAAAGGATAAGAATGCACTAAAGCGTATCCACAGTAGAGCCACGAAATCAGTTCGGGGACTCAAATTCAAACCTTATGAAGAGCACTTCAAACCACTTAATTTTTACCTGTCAGGGTATAGGCGTCTCACAAGTGGCCTAATGACCTATAACATCTTAATTACTGCTGAGCATCCCCTAACCTACTTAAGCTCAGTCAAAACACAAACTTTAAGTGTAACATTCAGAAGTTAAAGATGCAACATAGGAGAATGGACTGTACGGCTACCTTTTAATCTGTGTGATTAGTCGAATCCTGGATTTTAATACCGACAGGTGGTCAAAGCGACTTCTAGGGGGTCCATCAAGAGGAACCTTAACGTATTCTTAGGGACTCAGGATAATATTTTTTTCATAACTAATACTTCTCTTTTGTTTTGTAAGTATACCTAGGTTCCTACTTGGAAGTGTCAATGATCGACGGCTACTAGATACGGGACCTCGTTAAACGAAATCTTCTATTCGTTCCACAACAATTTGAAGAGAATAGCTATATCATTGAACTTCACTAGTGGTAGTCAAATAATGTGGTTTTATTGTGACAACATAAGTGTGAAACTGCGGTTTTTCAATCTTACTATACTTAGTTGTTGATTCATATAAACTCAACCTACTTTGGCTCAAGTGAAAATGTAGGGTAAATGATGTTTGCACTAGAAATTAGTAAATTAGAATTCTCATTGGCCTACTGCATCAACTATTGATGTTAATTTAGCGATTAACGTGCACATCTGCATGTATTTGTGGATGGCATTATATATCCTTTATTCTCTGTATTTTTGTCTCCATTATTTATCATTTGTTTGCCATCTTGTTTTAGTGAATGTGACTGTGTGCAATTCATCATTTAATTAAATACACCTAACTTGCGTATGTTCTTTACGACTTCAATGTAGTATGAACACACAATTGGTTGAATATTCATCTAGTGATGAAGAAAAAACTGAAAAACTGGAGCTGCCTACAATACTTCAAGATTTAAATTCTGATTCCTTTCGTTTTTTTGTTCGTGAAGATGATCCTTCGAAGCATGATTTTCGTAGTAGAACTTTTCCTCATGAACCTGGGAGTTGGGCCACTTCCGTGTATATTGCATGTAATCACAACAACGTCTTGTATTGTACCAAGGTTCTCATTTGCATTCTAGAATACTTGAGGCGATCAAAGACCCCGTAGTTCAATCAAATCCTGTAATGGGTGATTGTTATACTGTGGATTCTCCTCACATAAGTTTGTCGAAGACATGGCCTATTTATTTTCATTGGATTGAAAATCTCGTTTGTAATCTTCGTTCTGCTGTAAGCTCTTTTGGAAAGTAAGAATACTTCGTGCATATTTAAGCGATTTTAGGTTCTGGATTGCGCTTGATGACGTAGAAGTTCTTGTAAATGAAGAAAACACACGGTACTCATTTTCTACTGCTTATAATCTGTAGATCCTTTTTCACTTTAGTAACTTCTGAAGAGTCACGTATAGCACTGATATCTCTACTCAATTCTGTTGATTCATGTGTCACTGCGTTTAGAGGGCCAAAGTATTATGAAGTAAGACAATCAATTTCCCTATCATTCTTCAGAATCCTAAATTCCATATGAGTTTTTTGTGGTGTAATGGGGATGTTCGTAAGAAGTATTCAACAGAAACACTAAACAGTTTTTTGGTAAGACAACATTTTTCTATGAATTATTCATAAAGATGGATTTGCGAAAAGCAATATTTGTAGAATCTAAACAAATATCCCATGAAGTTACAGATGTAGTGTGCAAAAGCGGAAAAAAATATTTCGACATAAATATATTGTGATCTTTTATGTAAATAGATGTACTGTGCTTTGAAATATTCATATTTCTCTACAAGCTTATTTATTTTGAAGCGTACAAAACCTTGCACAAAAAATCTTATTAACATTAAATTAAAGTAAACCGGAATAGTTTAGTATTACAGAGGGATATGAGTCCTAAGAGGAAAAGTGAGATATTTAGTGGCCCGATATCTGACCCCAAGTGGATCGTACGATTGATTGCCGTCGAAATATATACATCGCCAATCCTCGTATATACTCATCGACTTGAATCGTATTGGTGAATAACGGAATCAAATAAGCTGAATACGAAAGTGGGTTTTTGAATACGTATATTTCCTACAGTCATTGATCTGGACGGACAATCAGAGGTACGAAGCGAAGGGAAGAAAGCAAAGCGAAATGATGCGCGGTGGAGAAGGCGTGTGAGCTAACTCGATTTAATCAAGCGTTATTCGATATTTATGGCCACACAGACATGTGACGAGTAAGATAAGAAATGCACACATACACTCCCCCCAAATGCCCCGGTACGGCCGGGAGTGGGGGTCAGCTTTCCATCTTGAAATGCTCTTACATGACCACGTGCATACAACCACTGCCAGGGAAGTCGTATTCACTGCCTTCTCGTGGCAGGGGCGTTGTTTACGAAATTATAGCTTCTGAACAAGCTAATTAATCCATTCTTCTTGAGTCACGTTTTTACCTTGTTGATCACTCACTTATCAACCCTAACTGTTTTTATATGATCGTATGTGTGTGTGTACCCTTTTTATCCTCTGGAGGAGGTACCTACTCATGAGAAGCCTGTAACTTATTTTTGTTAGGCTATAAATGTTCATTAACGCTTGATTAAATTGATTTGGTTCACATGCCTTCTACACTGCACGTCATTTCACTTCATTCTTTTCTCTCCGCTTCGTTTCTCCGACAATTTGTCTGGATCGACAATTGTATGAAATATATGTATTCGAAATGTATTTTCGTATTTGACTTATTTAATTCTGTTATTCACTAAAGTGGATTAAGTCGATATACGTAGAACCTAAGATCACTTGAATGAAATGAGTGCCTTATATTTCAGTTATAAAAAGATTAATGCCCTGGTACGGCCAAGGGTGGGTAGAGTTAACTCTTTCTTTCCAATTCCATGTACATGGCCAAGCGTATACAGCCAGGGAAGTTCTACTCACTGCCTGCTCGCACCAGTGGTGCTGTTTACGAAACTGAGGATGAAAATCGAATGTCAGGCGCTTTAGGCGGGCTGGTGGATACGGAGAGTTCACATAGGGGGGTTGGAAAACCCTGATTCCAAACCAGTGGTGCACATGGGCTCCAGTATCTTGAAGTAACAAATGGCGTATGAATCAATCGTTGGTCACCAGCTACCATGGGTCTGCATTCCGTGCCGTTGTTCCATTGCCTTGTGGGTCAGATCTTTAGGTCGAAGTCTCGGAGTATGGTCCCCGAAGAAAACCACCTGCTTTGGTCTGGGCATCCGGTCATTATCCCAGCACTCACAAATCGAATGATTGATATGGCGCATATCTATTTGATGCCTTCTTGTAGCAATATTTATGTGTTCAAACAAATATATAAAAACAGTCAAGCTTGATAAGCGAATAATTAATAAGGTCAAAATGTGACTCAAGAAAGGTGAGTAGATCGGCTTGTTCGGAAGCTAGAATGAGTTAGTGGGCTTAAAAATAGCAACCGACACTACAGACATTTATGTACTATATGGTGGCTAGTTTTGGGCCACGTCAATCTGTTCCCATTTCCTGATTTTTAGAATCTAGATAACCCCGGCTATGTATCTTATGCGACCATTCGCCCTATCGCTGATGTTTTTCTCGTGTTTACGAGAATTCACATCACCAACGGGTCCGTTCTTCATTTTTTTCAGATTCTACTCTTCACCTTATTCGGTAGTTTCAACACACACAATAAGCGAAGCACCTACGAGTTAACACGTTCCAGTCACCTTTTAGGGGTTAAGTGAAGCTGTCAAATGCTACACAAAGTTGTCACTTGGTCGCCGCGTTCCGATATCATCAATGTTGGGGATATGAACTGTGGGACTCAATGAACACAAGTTGCGCTTTTTGGATCGTGTAAAAAAGGTGCAATTCTTATTTCGTAATTGAACACCTAGTCTTGGATACTAGGCCACTTAGACTGAATGTAAAAGAAGCAAAAATTACTATAAAGGATTACTTAGGTGTTTGTTTCATAGGACTTCATATCAATCAAATCTTTGATGAACAAGTAAAGTGGTATGTTCTGCTTCTTTTTAAGTACTTAGCAGAGTTGAAAATGTGAAGAAGTCTCGCTGCATAATCTATTGGAGAATAAGAAAATTGAAACAGCGTTAATCTACCAAAACTTGTTAAAAAAAGTAGGGATTTGAATCGAATTTTGGATTACGATCCAAGTTTCGTATAAAAGAAATAACTGCCGATTTGGTGAACTCCATTCAGGAGCAGAGTTACATGTTCACGTTTTCGTGAAATGGAATGACTTAATTTCGATTCATGGAACTACTCTAAGTTTATGAAGAGGGATAGATAGTGTTTGGTTGTGTATCTAGATGATCAGGTCGAACGAGATCGGGGTCGCGTTCGTATCAAATACACAACTGGGAAATCAAGCTTGCCAGTTTACATTTATTAGATCTTATTAAGACTGATAGTACGGATATGCATTCCTTCCGTATATTACAACGCGAACATGGTGTAAGAAGATCAACTTAAAAGTCAGAACAATATATTTTCGATCAATACTTGAATCCAAACAATAATTTAGGTGCTACGGTAATAGAGAACTGAGTTTGTAAAAAAACATCGGAAGATGTATAGCCGTATTGTACAAAAGTTTACAAGTTGGTATGAATCCAAATAATCATCCTAGTTACCACACCATTATCGGCTGACCGCGAAAGCTATATCAAATAAATATAGAGTCTGCTGGAGCATTTTGAGAAAACAAGACTATAGAATTATATCCGATCAATAGGTTTTGCATGCATAAAAAATATTTCACTAGATGTTTGCAATTTATTGCTAATATGTGATAAGATAGTGTCTCATCGATCCTAGCTTCTGGATACCAACCGGATTTCACCTCGTGCTTTGAACTGAGCGACGTGTATTTGTTCACTTGCTATTGTTTGCTCGAATCTTCTCATTGATGTTTAGGACTGCCACTGATCAATGGGAAGATTCAAGCAAACAATACCAAGTGAATTTAAACTTCACCTCATTGCACAAACAAGTAGCTATCAGGACTCAGTAGCTAAGTGGATAACTTGATGGCATTTGAAACGAACAGTACTAGGTTCCAGTCCCGGAGTGGACAACAACTCTAGGATGCATGTACATCCAGCCGGTGAGTCCCAAATAGGACGAAACACTTGTCCTAGATCCCACCGCTAACCACCATGTTTTCTTATGTATATTGGTTTGAATTTTTGCATAAGGATATGTGTCAATGATTTTCGTGACTAACATTAATCTGGAAGAACTTATATAAATTTGGAGTTAAGGCTAGTAACTTCACTTTTCATCCACCTATCAAAGAAGGATACTGCTTGCTCAATTCACTTTAGTAAAAACTGAACAGAAGGTTAGAAAAAGCACTTAGTGTGAATAGTCTTAATCAATAATCTAACCGAAAGTCACTTCACTGTTGAAGTGGAACAGCCTGTGAGCTTTTATGAGGAAGATATTAAAAGGACATTCAATTCGTTGTAATTTAGTAGTGAATAACAATTATGAGGGAAATACTGCAAACTTATTAATCAGAGAATCACAGCACCGATATCACAACTATAGTTAAAAAGTACGATATAGCCAGAACATAATATCAAGAGACTTCTTTGTGTGCTGAGGAATGTTGCATAGATATATATGTCCATGACAGGAATTAAGATATACAAAAAGATAATAAAATTTGAAGTCAGGTGCCTATATGGATGTAAGATTATTTCTCGGCTTGTTCTGCTAGTTCACTCATTGATGTATAGGATGAGACTGGTGTCATTTGTTGGGTCCGCACCAAGCCTTGTTGAGCCATGCTTGCCAGGAGACAGCCTTCTCTGTTCCAAATGTCTCCATATGAAAGTGTCAAAGCGCCACCTGCACACCAAAAAACAGGGTTTTAATTTAGATGGTTAGATAGCAATCCTGAATGTCCATCAAAGAAGGTTAACAAAATGTTTTACAAACTTGAGCAGACTAAAGACCTAGAAGATTTCCTAACATAAAGTTAAGTAAATCACAGAATTTTCAGAAAAAATACTGTGAAAGGTTATACATTAATATAATTCATGAGTTGCCAGCTTTTATAAACACTCCTATATGAGATCGAATCAATAATCACAATTAGGCAGTGGTTTTCTGTTAACCCAGTTCTTTATATAGATGGATTGTTACACCGTACCTACAATTTTTTGCATACTATAATAAATGATTGCCTGTAGTTCACGTGACTTCAACAATTCAAGATGCACAATTTGTTTTCTAATTAAATGATATAAAATCTTGGCAGATGAACAGAATAAACCATATCCTCATGTTTATAAGACGATACTAAACATTAATGAAAATAGCAAAATCTAGAATGATTGTAGTGATCGCTCAAAATCAAATGATTTTGTAGCAAATTTAAAACTAGTTCACACTACTGTGCTGTTGAGATTCTGTAACATGGAAAACTGTCTAATCAAAATCTAGTTCAGTTACAGTATTTTACTATATTGTCTTTTGAACTCTAATGTCGTTACTGAAAATGACTTTAAAAATAGGATTATTGGTAAACAAAAAAGTAATGATTTTCGCCTAAACACTGTTCCAAAACTGATAATCTGCAATAGCTGACGAACCTACGTAATTTGCTCTTGTTCCAATCAAAATCCA